CCCCCCCCTCAAGCACACACAATTCTCAAAAGCGTCTTTTGTGCATGGCGTCATCATGCCTACCCAAAAGTGATCCCACTGAAAGTCGAGATCACCCCGAAGAACAGCACCTAAGTACGTTCTGAATGTTGGGCCTAATCTTACTTTTACCCATTTGACAATTTTCTTAGGATTTTAAAATGACAGGGAACGTTGAAGGAAATGTCTCTGGTCACATGTCTTGTTTATACCGTGTCCCAAGCGTATACAGCTGAATTAATTTTGCTCACGGTCTTTCATGCTTCTCCTTAGTATAACGACATGGAAAGCTGTATCCATATCGTGGGCCGAATGAAGAGGTTCCTTCAATCTCGCGGGCGAAAGCAGGTACAAAAATTGGGTGAAGTCGGACGAAAAACCTTCTCCTTCAAAGGTGAGACTTAAACTGAAACTATAGCATTGTGTTACTCAAGTACGTGCATGGGATTAACAAAAATAAGAATAATATAATAATTATGTTAGATGTGCTGCTTCCTGCTATGCCAGAAACTGTTAATTTTAATAAGTAAAACGAACAGTTTTGTTCATTTGTGTAGCATCGTAGGGAAATCAGCCGCTCGTAAAAACATGAAAGCAAATAAACCATCATGTTTCGTTCGTTTGGAAATTTCCATCCACCTTTTTAGGGTTTTTTTTTTTATCAACAACTTTCATGTCCAAATAGAAATACGTATGTATGTGGATTTTACTTAAAACATTAATCGAAGGCACAAAGCATTAGAATATATATTATGCAGCTTTCAAGAACTCTCAAGCTTCGGGAAGTCACCAAACTTTGGCGGCCTTTCTCTTGCTAATGTTTACCTCTGACACCAGGTGACCCCAATCTCTTTCAATCACAAAAATGTCAACTTCTATTCTAAATAGATGGGTCATTTTTTCATCAAAAGTGAGATAAATAAACAAGCATTAATTTTAGATGAAGCTAATAACTCCACGTGCCCAAAGATTGACGAACGCCTGATTTTACCACATCTACTTTGTTTTATTACTGAGTCGACTCGCGGGACAGGCTGGAATTGCCGGCTGGCCGGCCGGATCTGGACGTATGTAGATGTCTGGTCTAAAGCTTTTAGCACCTGGGAAGTGTCGCAAGAAGATAGAGGCGTCTGTTGTATGTTGCGTGTCGGAAAGCTTGACTAATGAACTAATGGGGTCCTGTTTGATGCCCGGCGGGTCTCTTTTACTCCATGGATCCAAGTTATTTTGGGCCGGCCCCTGGCTAGATGCTATCGAGTTTTGTTGTATTGTTATATCCACGCCAGGCTGGGTAGGTGCTGTACTGGCGTCAATGGTGTAACGGTTAGGCGCTTTGCGATTGCATGCAGAACTCAGAGAGTTCAATTCCATGTTTTCCCTTGTTATTATAACCGATAACTTGTTTACTCGTCGCTTAGCTTTGACCAATGCAACGTATTTCTTGTTTTCTGAGGCTGCCACGTCAATGAGCAAACTTTTACCGAAATGCAGTTGTCGAAGATTGCTTTGAATTGCAAAGTCATTTACCTTTGGAAAGTGCTCTTTCATATTAGGGGAAATTGTTGACGCCTTTTTTAAAAATATCAAAAAAGGGGAGTGTGTGTATGTGTGCGTGTGTGTGTGTGTGTGTGTGTGTGTGTGTGTGTGTGTGTGTGTGTGTGTG